AAAAAAAAAAAAAAATAGTAAAAAGTAAATAAAAGGTATCTCAGGAATAAGTTTCTTTGTACCCCCTTCTATGGTTTTATATTTCTTTACTTTTTTGAGTTGGAGTCTCACTCTGTTACCCAGACTGGAGTGCACAGTGGCTGCTCCCGGCCACCGCAGCCTCGATCTGCTGGGCTCCGGCGATCCTTCCGCCTCAGCCTTCCAAGTAGCCGGAATTACAGGCATGTGCTACCACGCCCGCCTAGTTTTTTTTAATTTATTTTGGAGATGAGGTCTCGTTGCCCAGGCGGGTCTCGAACCCGTGGACTCAGGCAATCCACTCACCTCAGCTTCCCAAAGGCATGGGATTACAGGCTGAGCCACCGAGCCCGGCTGGTTTTACATTTCTGATCGCCTTTAGACCTGGTGGTCTTGATTCCTGATTGTTTAGTGTGACACCTAGTGGTAAGAGTGAGGTCTAGGTCTTCCTTATTTGTCACACAGTGCCTTTTGAAAGCTTTGGGAGGTGCTGAGCCTTGATGACTTGTACCTACGGTGGGGATTCCCAAGGAGGTACCTTTTGTTTTCCTGCAACCCTGGGAGACAGTTTTGAATAATGTGATCTGGCAGGTTTTCCCTCTATCATCTATAGTTCTAGATGGTTTAGTCAAGAAACAGTACAAGTTGGGTGAAGAAGAATTACACACTTAGAAACTAGAATTATTGAGCAGATTGAGCAGAAGACAACAGAAGATTTGGGTGTATAAAGACTTTCGTGGACACTTTGGCACGTAGATTTCTCTCCTCATTGTCAAATGTTTGAGCCAAACTTAACCATTTAGAAGTGTTAAAAACTTAGATAATTAATTTTTAGTGTTAATTCTTTTCTTTTCAACATAGAAGGCAAAAGAATGAATAAGTTACACCTCAAAACTACTTTTATTTTAGCCCAGGATGCAGCCATGGGTCGTTACAGGATGGCCATAATGCTCCCAGGCTTCACTGTGGCCAGGAGCACCCCCATGGGAAAAGAAGCGTTGTCAGGGCCCGGTATAACCTCAGGCACTTCGTGCACTGTTCTGGGGTGGAAAAGGCACACTATGCACTATGCCTTCTGCCTGGGGGGCTGGCAGCATGGAGATTTTTGGCAAGTTTAGCCAGGTGGTCCAACATTCTCAGTTTTTCTTCACATCGTGGGCAGGGTGGCCTGTGCCAGTTGGCCTGGCCAACTACACTTACATTGTTTTGGCCCCAACAAATTGAACTGAATCGGGCTACCCATCACTCAGTGCAGCCAGGCTGGAAGAGAGAGAAGCCATGACAGAGTTCCTGAAGGGTAAGCAAGGCAGACACAGTCTTGATGGACAGCACCCCTGTGAAACTCTGAATTTATATTCTGCTTCCAATCTCAGACTCAGTCTTCTTTCCTCCTATATTGGCTAGCCACTGTCTATGTATTCTCTTCCAAACCTGGATCCCCCAGTCTGTGATC